CTTACTCGACCAACGTCTGTCACCTCAGCTCATCGTGTAAAAGCAAATTTACTATGTTCAATCGCAAGTCATTCGAGAGGATTGTACACGATAAAACCTTTCAAAAGCGAGAAAAAAAGACAATAGAAAGTTTCTATTGTATTGAACCTGAATATTTGGGATGCGCATAAATAATATTCATCTGGAAAAAGAAATATGACATTTATTGTTACCAAAAGAACAACTTTCAATTTATAAATTTGTAAAATAAATTACTTGAAAATTTTCTTTAAAATCTTGAAATAGTCCAAAGGTGCTCCACAAAGACGATATAAATTAAAATTGAATAGATTTTACTATTTTCTTCGATATCGTAAAGGAAAATTAGTTATCGTAGCAAAAATATTAGATTCTTCCAGTAGGGAACATTTGTACGTATATATAGTTTTTAAAATATGATTTTACTGCAAACTTAATACTCAGCTGTCCTTACTGCCCGACCTTATATAGGCCTTTGTCAGTACGACTTTATTTGGATATATGTGTCTGCCATTTATTAGCCAGTTGTTAAATAAATATCAATTGTATGTTATTATATAGTTATATAGCTACTTAAAGATCGACGTAGGGTATAAAGTAATAACCCAAAATGGTACAAAAAGTAGACAGTTTGATTCATTTGTCAATTGAACATTTTTCATAGGAATATCATTCCAATTCAATAGTTACGGGTAATTCGAAGAGAAATAAAGCAACTATTCTATAGGTTATAATCAATGTTTCTCGTGTTTCTTCGAAAAATATTTCTATTGCAAACCCAAATATAACAATTGTTTTATGTTTTAGACTTCCGATCTTCTATGTATGACAGCCTTATACAGATATACTAGATGCTCCACGGGTGTTATATATAAGCAAGACTTTCCACGGGGATTTGATGGCGATTAAATCTAACTAACTTGCAGATGAGGTAACTAGACATTTCATCTAACAAGGTTAACTACCCACTTAGATAACTACAATTCACTATTCAAAGTACTATAATTTTTCGCTGGTTACTGGTAACGCAGGGAGGGGACAATTGACTTCTCCAATGACATCCCCATGTTAAATTCAGTCCATAGGATAAAATATTTAATTCCGAGTCTGAAAACTCCGTCATAAAGGATTAAGAATGGATAATGGATACAATCTTCCATTGTCACATTCCATGTGACAAATATGTGGAAATGCTTTGCTGTAAATAAAACACATTAATTAGAAATTCCGAAGACGCATACTTGTGTTCTAAATCCAAGTTATTTATAAACAAATCGTGAAAGGGACATTAATTTTTTGCATAAACAGCGCAATGTTTGTGACAACCACTCTTTTAAATTATACAATTAAATGCGGTGTGTTTACAATATTTCCACGATGCTTTAAGTTTTTTTTTCAACTACAATACCGGCATGAATAATTAACAGACTATTGACATTCACATAAATGTTTTACAATTATATATTATCCAAATTGTTGTTGCATTTCCTTCAAAGATATTCAAAAAATTATAAAACCATAAACCAAAACTATGCAAAATAATAATAACTTTATTGTTACCTTATTTGGTAGATTTAGTAGCGGAAACTGAAAACGTCAATGTACTGTTGATGATTCGGCTAAACTATAACTAAAAACCAGCACCGTCTCTAATGGTCCTTTGGTGTCCTTCAATCTAAAACTCTGGGTGTATTTTGGGGCGGCGGGTGTGTTTAATGGTTTCACCGACTGCGCTAATATCCTCCTCTATCCAATTAGAAATAAAATGTGTTTATAATGGTGATAGATTAACGATAACAACTGTTATCGATTCATTTTAGTTGTAAGGCACAATGGTCACACATCAAACTAACATGCACATGAGAGATTACATTAACAGCTTTTACAATTCGAAGTGTTGAAACTTTTCAAATAATTTAACAGAACTTTTATAAACGAAGAATCCAAAAAAAGTAAACATTAATAAAAGAAGCAAGTTCTGGAACATAGCAGAAGTATGCGTATATGCCTTTAAACTGTTAATTTAAATTGTTAATTAAATTGCATATATGTCAAAAAATTCCTAAAAAGGCAAAAATTTCTAATGCACTTGCCATTTTAGTTGAATGCAATTTTGACATTCTTCTTGGAATTATGTTTCGCCTACGTGAAATGGTATTCCTCGAAGAATCTCAATAACGTAGGGCCAGATATCGTCGTCAGTCTAGTTCTTATTGCCCTCATGAACGCCTATTTTAAATCCCTTTTTACTTCAAGACTATTTTTGGATGTTTCCTATGGACCGAATTTAACACAAATCTTTAAGCTAGTGTTCGCAAACTATCGATGGTTTCAGACTTTTTTCTTTCATAAATACTTTTTTGTGACATGAACATACTTGGCAAAAATTAAATTTGACAAAAAAATTTAAGTACATAAAATTTCAAATCGTCGTAAATGGACAGACGACAGCCTTCATTTGCATTAAAAAGTTCTTAATTTGAATTAATACTTACCCCTGACAGACGAGAGTTTCTGCATTTATGAAACAATTTTTTGTTTCAAAACTATTGTTTGTCTGTGTGTAGGATGAATATATTGGCATTTGTTTCCAATATTTTGTGTGATTACGTCTTTATGAAATTGATACATTGCAGAAAGGAAGAAAATCAGCTATAACGATATTAAAACAGCTTCCAATTTGAATAATTGTAAAATTTTCCTTTGTTTATAAATTTTATTTTCATAAACGTAAACAAATTTGAAAACAATCAATTTATTTTCTACAGCATAGCCATATTGAAATTGCTTAATTCAATATAAATTCAGTTTGATTTTGTGCATTAAAAACACATAAAAATGAGGATAATGTACAAGTTAATTTGAATTAAGGCTGTTAATGCAAATTAGGGCTGTCGTCTGTCTAGGCTATAAAAAAATTAAAAATATTCAAATTTCAAACCGTGTTATATCAAAACCGTGTACAAAAAGACCGTATAAAAACAGACTTAGGTATATATATATACAGTGGTGGTCACACACACACACATGAAGGGAATCATGTTTTGATTAACCCTCGATCCGTTTGGAATATTTTAAATTAATTTTTTATTCAAAACGCTTATGTGTATTGCACTCCACCGATTAAGTGTGAAAATAGAAAATAATCATGGGAAAATTGTGAAATATAAGGGTATTCATGGTATAATAATAGAAGGTAACAGCAAGTGTTGTTGTACAAAAAACGATACAACAACCACATGGAAATTTGTTCTACTAGTGTCAACTCATTTGACATAAAAATGTAAACAAACAAACAAACAAATTATCATCAAATTATTTTTATTTTGAAAATGAAATATTTTCGAATCCTCAAAATAAAAATTGAAAAACATGAATGAAAATCTATCAAATTTATATTTCTATCGCTTCCACATCTTTCCTATAATTGAGCCATTGCCATATATATGTGTAACACATATGAAAATGCTGGGAATAGCGAGTTGTTCCTTGAAGAAAGATTTGCTTCCTCAAACTTTCCCAGCAGGCAGATTGAGTAAATTGAATACGGGAGCACATTTAATAAAGAACAATTTCAAATTGTATGCGTTCCCAATTACCCTGTTGGGCGATTTTTAAAAACATAATTTGTCAAATTCATATTGAAACTAGTATTACGTTGGAATCAAATCAGCTGGAATTTGCTGTAACTTTTTATAATTGTGCCATGAAGGGTATTTAGGAACCAAGTCAAGTTATGAAAGGAACACCTAATTGGCACACCTTGGAATTGTTAATTTAAATGCTGTTGATATTTAAAAATATATACAAAAAACAACTTCGTGTTAGCAAATTAAGACCGATAATTCATTTTCAGAAGAAAAAATAAAAAAAATCTGTAAAATCTATTTAAATTGGCAACAATTCGTACTGTAAACCTAAAATTGGCAAAATTCAGCCTTTGTATAAAAAATAAAGACACTAATGGCCCAGAAATTGCTCTAATAACTAGAGATCAACAAATATTTTTAAAAATTAAGAAAAAAAACGAAATAAAAACTCAAAAGTTAAAATTTCACTTAAAGGACACCTTTGACTTGGAAAGGCTTCGAGATAAGTCTATATAGGATACCTACATCTCGGGAAGTACTAATTATTGGAATATGAGACCTGTCCGTAGAGTGCACTTAAGAATTTCGGCCTATTACTTTAAATTGATTGTCATAATGGTCTGTTCCCGTACTGCAAGAATCTACTATTTTTTACTCCGATAACACTTTTTTCCTTTATGATATCGAAGAAAATAGTAAAATCGAGTAGATTCTTGCAGTACGGGAACAGACCATTAGTTTTGTAAAATGTAAATGAATAAAGGGGAACGACGAAAAAAGCAATTCTGCTCCGTATAATTCGACATTTAATACAAGCTTGCCGCAAATTTGTATTTTTTTATAGGGACACATGTTATCAAATCCAAATACATATTTTTAATTCAATATATATGGCATTAATCTCGTACAACAAAAATCTACTAATTTTTATTATTTTCTTCGATGTCATAGAGGAAAATTGTTATCGTATTAAAAAGTTGTACATTCTTGCAAGTTCTGGAAAAGAACACAACGACTGTTCCAATTTGCCCAAATATCAACAACCCATAGTAATATGAAAGAAATGCAGCAACACCCGTTTATTAATTCATGAACTTTATTCATTTTAAACTTAATTGAAATTACCGTGAGAACATGACATTAGTAAACATTCGAAAACAACATTTGTTATCGATTATGGCCAAATTGAGGAATCCCTTATTGACAATTTTCACCGTGCCTCTTCCTTAACAATACGTTTCTCCCTCACACCTCATTCGTAAATTTTCTTTTTTTTTCACTTTGAGTTCCTTATTTATCGGGCATTTTTCTTTGCCACATTTGCAGCAAGTGGAACGTTTTTCTTTCAGGTATCACTCATAAGTTTATCTGCGAGTTTATCTGGGTAAATGCAGCAACACCCGTTTAAAAATACAAATTCCACAGAAAATTCCAATAAATTTGGATATTAAAGCATAATAAATTAAGAAAATTTCGCACGGGCAACAGTGAATAATAAATTACAATACTCATGTCAATAACCGTAAGTTTTCCAGTGGAAAAAACGAAACGCCACAGAAAAGAAATAAATATCTCAGAAAGTGAAGTAGAAGAAAAAAACAAATTGACAAAGTGCGTGAGATAAAGAAACAAGACAAGACAGAAATCGAATGACGTATTGTGTGAAATGATGGAGGAGTTAACGAAAAATATTCTTTTAATATTATTATGGAACGCCACGAATATTTGCATGCAATTTGAATGTACATTTTCGTTCCGTTTTCTTGGTGTGTCTGATTGCCTATTAAAGGGAAATGTCTGCGACGAAGGCAATTATGACCACACACAATGGCAAGTGGGCTGAATGGCTGGCTGGCTGTTTGGTGGGTTTGTCAGTCAACAGCAGTAGCTGCTATAAAGTGTCAAGTTTAACAGCCAGCCAGTCACCTAGCCACAGCAGCAACAATTACCTACTCTCATCCAGCCAGCCAGTCGTTTTAATTGCCCCTCAATTGGCAATAAATTTGTGCAATAATAATCATTCGGCGGCGATGATTAACTAATGTTTTTGATGTTTCGTTTTTGGCCAGAACAAGGTCAAGAGATCTATTTTAGTGTTTAGCTGCTGCTGGTTGATTGGTATAAAGGGCGACAAACGGTAAATACATGTAGGTAGGTAGGTGCGAGTTGATTATGGACATTAGCTTGAAGAACAAGAATGATATACGTACATAGCTTAGCATAGATTGGTGCGCCGCTGTCATCAACATTATTATATGAAGTTTTATGAATCAAACAAAAACACAATAGCCAACGTACTTTCCTTTTTCCATTATTGTTTTGCTTTCTACACAAAGCAAATAGAAAAAGCCAACAGACAGACAACATAAGAAGCCCTTCTTTATCCATTGCTGCTGCTGTTGTTACATTTTTTGTGTTTGATTCAATTTTGATGAGCGAATCGGAAGAACTTATTGACAACTTCCTACTCTCTTTGGTCAGGTCATTCGATATGCTCAGAGTGAACATCTGTCAAAAGGTGTTTTTTTTTCATACAGTGATATAGTAAGTGAAGTCTCTTCAGTTATGTATTTTTAAAAACATTTAACGAGGCTGGTATAAAAATAACAGTCAGTTTCTGAAAAGGGTTGATTGACGTAATATAATAATGAAGAACTAAGCCAATATATTTTCCGAGCTTTCGGGTCTCGAGAATTGTGAATTTCTCAATATGATATATGAACAGTCGAACACATTTTAATGACCTTTGTACCAATTTTTCATACAACTCACTACGATTATAGGGAATTAAGAATATGTTCTACGTGTTCAATGACATTTTGTCCAATTTAATTACAAATATACATGCGATTTAATTACAAATGAAAATTTAATTACAATTACGGCATATCCATGTTAATGTTAATGAGCGATGTCGCAGTTGGTAATTCCTGACATTTGGAAAGTTACCCGCTACTAATGGGAAATCCTACCGCCCGATTTGTCTTCATTCACGTTTTAGAGTCTCTACTGCTTACGTCCCTGAAACAGCTGATATCGGACATCACAAATTCCACCTTCCGAGTGAAGCATTGGCTTGCCAACTACCTAAATGGGCGGCAGGCATTCGATGAGTTCCGTGGCCAAAAATCCAAAGATCGCAAGATCAAAATGGGAGTACCGCTAGGCGGTGTCCTATCTCCCATTTTGTTCAACATGTATCTTACGAAACTCCCCATTCCTCCACCAGATGACTTTACGATTATTTCGTCCGCCGTAAATATTGACGACGTAAGTGCAAGAATTTTCAACTATTAACCACCATCATCAACTTCTTCCGCAAGCGCAATCTAAAATTATCCACTGCAAAGTCTACTGTAGCACTTTTCACTTCCTGGACGCGAGAAGTCAATTTAGAACTTGAGATTTCCGTTGAGGGTAGGCGCACCCACCGTCCATAATCTGAAAATCCTTGGGGAGGTGAAAGCTAGGAATAAAGTTCTTAAAGTTAAAGCTTAAGGACATATAAGGCCATAGGTCGTTCCATTCTGAATTATGCTGACCCAGTCTGGACTTCTTTCCTTATTGACACACAATGGAGGTCCTTGCAAATAACTCTAAATAATGCACTCCGAATTGCAACCGGCTGTGTCCAGACGAGCGTCGATCACCTCCATGAGGAGACCAGGATGCTGTCAGTCAAGCAACATAATGTGTTGTTGACTAGACATTTCTTGCTGGCATGCTATTTGCCGTGTCATACCAACCATCACACAGTGATGGCAGATCCACCTCCGTGACACATTCGCCAGGACTTCGGGCGCTATCGTGATGGCATCCAATACGTCATTCCATCGGATGTCAACAGATTGTCGATAGCGAACGCGATGAAATCCGTGCATCAACTGGCGGTCTACGAAGCCATAAATGGCCACTGCTGCCAGCAAAGCCCTCACGACACACACCATCTATTCAATTGTCCGTCCGAGCCTATTGCCTATAGACTTATGGCTAAAGCCAATAGAGGTGGCACAATTTATCCGGCTACCCTCTCTTCAAATCCGATTTGCTAATAATTAATATAATTTTCCTTCTTCCGTTTTTTCCATCAATATTTTCAGAAAGAACTTTCATCAACAGCCAACCTGTTACAACAACAACAGTGTCCCAAGTCCCGAAAAATGTTCTGCCCTTTATTTGATACAGTTTATAACGACATATCACTTAGAGCGACCAATTTCGACAGCCCCTTTGACAAAATTTTCTCTACATCTGCATCGAACAATTTCTATAACGAACTAAATTATGCGGTCCGGTTCGTTATACCCGTGTTCGAATGTATATACATATGTAAACTGAAATGAAAATAGAGAAAGTTAAAACAAAAAAACTGACCACAAGATTTGTTAAAATACGAATTTTTAAATGTTCTTGTATTCAGCTTTCAAACTTTATGGATATAATAGTATCATTTTATCTGCTAATCATACATTAGTTTCGGGGATAGACATAATGTGTATTATCTGTTTTGATATTAATACTGCACTAAAACGGCATTTACATCAGAACTTTTTACCGGGTTAACCTACTCTATGAGGATTTATTTGACATATATGTAAAGGAATTGACAATTGAAACCCACTGGGTTAACGAAATTCGGTTAAATGTAAACGTACTATAATGACACTAAATCAGTACAAACTATATGAGAGTTTGCAATGGTGGAGTCTTGTCAAGTTTAATTTAAATCCGTTTAGATTTGCATACAAAGGATAAAATTTCAATTTTAAGTTATAATATGAACCCTGAGATCATCTCCCACAAATAGATGCCCCATAAAATTGGAACCTAAATGTTGCTCTATTTTATCATTTTTTTTTCGTTTACAAATTCAAGTGACATAAGGGTTAAATAAACAAATCACATGCAACTGAAAAGTATCAATTTCCAGCACATTTAAACGCTCTATTGCATTTTACAAATATTTTTGCAGCTATTGAGAGGAGGCAAGCAAAAGACTAAATCTTGTGTAGGAATGACCGTGATGTCCAAGACTTCAATAGCGGAAATATGTGAGAATGCCAAATTGGCCAGAGATATGGCCTTAACTGGTGACTATGACTCAGCTTCCATATACTATGAAGGTCTGCAGGGTTTATTGGCACGGATGATAAGTTCAACTAATGATCCGTTGCGTAAGGGTAAATGGACTATGGTAAGTTTGAAATGCAGGATGTTAAAATGGTGTACAAATAAATAAAAATTTATTTATTCTTATTGCAATAGGTTAAACAACAAATCACCAAGGAGTATTCACAGATTAAGGAGATACAACGCACCTTATCGGATATGACATTAGATTTGCAGAGTTCACAGTTTGCATCGAAATTTCGTACACAGACCAGTGAAACAGAAACCAAAGATCCTAGCTCGTGGTTTCGTCCGGATCCGGATATTTGGACACCACCACCAAAGGATCCTGATGTATGGGGACCACCAAAACCAGAAAAGTAAGTTGAAAAAAAATATTTAATGTGTTTCATGTCCACTCTTGGAGTGGAGACTTTTGGAAAACCTAAGCCCAACTTTTGGCTTTGTGTGAATAAAAGCCTAACTTAAATATAGTAAAGATATATGAACATTGTTCCAAAATTATAATAAACAGAGTTTAGAGTATCAATTAGATCGAAGTGTTTGGATATACTATCCATACTTTGTGCAATTATCTTTACATTTATCAACGGTTTACATATTTAAAAAAAATGTGTCCGACAATTTTAGATTTGAAAAAAAAAAAAAACAAACAAACCACAAGTAGTATTGCATATCGAAACTTTTGTTTACAAAATATCATTTCTCAATCTTCACACAGCATCATACACATTTTGATGTCATTAACAATGTAATTGTTCCATCAAATTGAATTCACAGACGTAATTAAAATTACATTTTCAATCATGTATTGAATTCCAACAAATTATTTATCCAACATTCAAATCTACATACAAAAGTTTTCTATCTTGAAAACTGATATCGATACAATTACACAATTTCTATGAGATGCATCAGTGGAGATTTAATGATGAAATGCTATTAACAATAGCAAAAAGTGCAAGTAATCAGTTCACCTGAATAAATATTGTGGTCAAAATTAAAAAGTTTCGGCCGTATTTTTTTTTTTTTTTTTTGTAACCCTTAACATTTCTTTTAATTTTAATAACCATTCATTTTATTTTTTCTCTCCTGTCTTTAACAGACCCGTAGTACCCAATCGCAATCGTAATGTGCCGGGTAAAAAACCACTTCCCTCAAAAAGTACCATACCGACACGCAACAGCACATCAAGTAATGGTCTAAATAAAAAGTCCAACACCGGGTCATCTTCAGCGCGTTCTTCGGTTAATTCACGTGGCCCATCCACAACTCGTAAATCAACTACCAGCAGTACTAATTCTACAAGTTCGAAGGACAAAGATGATAATGGCTCCAACAAAGACAACGATGAGACCAGAGATGATGAATCACCAGATCAAGAAGAAAAGGAAGAAAAGAAATTTCAACCGAATAATCACATTGAAGCCGAATTGGTTGATATATTGGGTAAGTGTTGCAAATGATGGAACGAATTATCAAATATGACTAACGAAATACATGTGTGTGCGTGTGTTTTCTAGAACGTGACATCTTACAACGTAATCCGAAAATACGTTGGAATGATATTGCCGATCTGCATGATGCTAAACGTCTGCTTGAAGAAGCTGTTGTATTGCCAATGCTAATGCCGGATTACTTTAAGGTATGTCCCCTTTTTATCACCAACCACAAGTGTTTACTTAAAATGAAATTGGTCAATAAATTTGAAAACTTCCGTCTTTTCTGTTGCTGCTAATTGCCAATTATAGTATAGTGTATAATCGTCATACTCAAAAGTTATCTAAAATTAGATCATAAATTGAGTTCTATAAAATGTTACCACGTTTTCAAGTGCCACGATTCCATAGTGTAGAACCATATGAAGCGTTTAATGAGTAATGAAATAAGTAAATAAGTAATTGAAATTTTGTATTAACTGTCTATAGAATAAAGATATTTGAGTGCGTTTTTAATTTTTGAACGATGATTTCACCAGCTTGAGTGAACTAAGGGAAATTAGACTATCTAGCGATGCAGATCTGATTTGTAAAAATAAACCTTCCTATTTCCCGCATCCACATCATGCGTTTCAAACATGCACAGGAAATTTTTTTATCTATATTTCAAATACTTCTGCTAAAAATGTCTTTTTGTATGATTCCTTCTGGTGCAGTCCTCTCAGAATCAGAATAAACGTTTGATTCCAGGTTGTGAATTTCGAATTATTATTTTCTTTTTTATTTTCCCCATATTTAGGGTATTCGACGACCCTGGAAAGGTGTTCTCATGGTTGGTCCTCCCGGAACCGGAAAAACTATGTTGGCCAAAGCTGTGGCCACTGAATGTGGTACCACATTCTTTAATGTCTCCTCGTCAACGCTGACCTCGAAGTATCGTGGCGAATCAGAGAAAATGGTACGCTTGCTATTCGAAATGGCAAGGTTTTATGCGCCGAGCACCATATTCATCGATGAAATCGATTCGTTATGTTCTCGTCGTGGTTCAGAATCGGAACATGAAGCATCCAGGCGTGTCAAATCTGAACTGTTGGTACAAATGGATGGTGTCGGCAGTGAGGAGGCCAATAAAGTTGTTATGGTATTGGCGGCCACCAATTTCCCCTGGGACATCGATGAGGCTTTGCGACGACGTCTAGAGAAACGTATCTATATACCACTACCTTCCAGTGAGGGTCGAGAAGCATTGCTAAAGATTAACTTGAGAGAGGTGAAGGTTGATGAAAGTGTTGAATTAGCAGAAATTGCCCAGAAATTAGAGGGGTATTCGGGAGCGGATATTACAAATGTTTGCAGGTAAATAGATAGATACACATGTAACATTTAAAAGAACAATCTGTGACCCGCAAAAAAATGTATTGTTTGAATTTTTCAGAGATGCTAGTATGATGTCTATGCGTCGCCGTATTGCCGGTCTGACGCCCGAAGAAATTCGCCAACTGGCCAAGGAAGAGGTGGATTTGCCAGTATCTAAACAAGATTTCATGGAGGCCATTAGCCGCTGTAACAAGAGTGTTTCACAGGCTGATTTAGATAAATATGAAAAATGGATGGCCGAGTTTGGTTCATCATGATGGCCGCAAGCAACGTACAACAAAAACAACAACACTAACCATACAAAACGTCGCATGCTGTTGTAGATTTTTGAGTGCGGTTTACAGCATGGCATAGTCCACAAACAACCCCACTATAATAACAGCAGCAATAAAACACACTCACCTTATTGCAGATTTTTTTCTTTGTATGGAAAAATCTTAGCCAAGCTAAGCACGTTTAATACCATAACCACCACCTACTTCCTTCCATTTGTGCCCAGAGGTGCTTTGACTCAGGCATTATTCACCAAGTGATAATGCAAAGCATCAAAGGGGATAATCAAACTGACTTAGAAGATTATGTCAACACCCATAACCCCCAACACGTGCCCTTAATAACAACATCAACAAAAGAAAATCTTAAAAAAAAACACATCAAAACAAAAACAAATGCAATTGAGAAAGGAGAAAAGACTAACCACAACAATAAATCGTACATTTTATAGGAGCAAATTATTCATAATCATATTAAGTACAAGCATAATAATAATAAAAATAATGATAAAACAACAACAATAACCACTTGTCATCGTCGTACTACTACTACTACAACAACTAATAAATAGTATTTTTCATAACATTATAGATTTATCCTTTACTTTAGTCAGTTTGCATACATACAAGCATTTTACCCATTCCTTTCACAAGAAACACACTCAAAGTTCATGCATCCATTTGTTAACTTACAATGCAATACTTCAACGTCATCTATTCTTTAACGTCTCTACTACTACTAATATTGCAGTTCGAATTATCTTGTATTTTTTTATACAGAACAAAAAAAAAAGAAATAAACACACACAGGTATTTGTTAATTAGTTATTTGCTTCGTTTAATTTTGTTCTTCAACTATTTCTCTCATATTCATCATCATATCCTTTTTTCAATCAAATAATAAAGTATTTTTGCCTCTTTTTTTAATAAAAAAAAAACATTTCTTTTTTTTCTTTTCATTCGTTGTAATTTAAATTTATGGTAAAACAACAAAAAACAATATTTAATAACTATTTCTAAATAATAAAAAAATATATATAACAAAAATAACATAAACATATACCCACATGTTGTTTATATTTATTTGAAGGGGACAATTACAAGGTAATTCGTACATCGCATGTAAAGGATTTGAGCTATGAAATTCGGTGAAATTCAACGTTTGAAACATTACTGAGGTTTCAAAATTCGACATACCCAATTCCGTTTGCTCTTTATCCCCACATAGTTGTTGTTGTAGCAGGTTAGCTGTTGGTGAAAGTTCTTTGTTGAAAATATTGATAGAAAATGGAATAAGGAAAAGGAAAATATATTAATTTGGAATAAGGATTTGAAGAGTGTAACCGCAGAAACTATTAGCTTTAGCCATACGTCTATAGGCAATAGACTTTTAGGCTCGGTCGGCCAATTAAATAGATGGTGTGTGTCGTGAGGAGGGTCACCTACTTAGGATTCCGGGAACAATACGATTTGAAAACATTGATGTATCCGGATCTTAGTTGTGCCAGAATTGAACGGTGTTGTCTAGGAAGAAACCTCTTACTGTCCGAAATTGCAATAAGATGTTGGAGTAGGATTTTGTTGCATCTGTAGTCATGTATGGCTTCGAAGACCGCCAGTTGATGCACGTATTTCATAACGTTCGTTATCGACAATCTGTTGACGTCGGATGGAAAGACGTCTTGGATGCCTAAAGTTCACACGGATGTGCCGTGGAGGTCGATCTGAGGGTTGGGATGACACGGCAGATAGCATGCCAGCAGGAACTGTCTAGTCAGACTGACAGCATCCTGGTCTCCTCATGGAGGTGATCAACGCTCGTCATATGGACACAGCCGGTTGCAGTTCGGTGTGCATTATTTTGTGTTGTTTGCAAGGACTGGGGCAGCATAATAAAATATGGAACGACCTATATGTATGTTGTTACCAACGTTTCTTTACCCTTGCACCAGGAGGTGCCAGCCATAGCTCTACAGAACTTTATTCCTATCGTTCACTTTCTGGTTGATGTAGTTGGAATGCCAGGAGAAATGGAGGAGGTTATTTAAGACCAGATTATGGACGGTGGGAATGCGCCTACCTTCAATGGAAATGTCAAATTTAAAATTGACTTCTCGCGTCCAGGAAGTGAAGCGTGAAGTACAGTAGATTTTGCAAAGAATAATTTTATATTGCGCTCCCGAAAGAAATTGGTAATGATTGCTTAATAGTTGGAAATTATTACACTTACGTCGTCAATGTTAATTGGTAATGATTGCTTAATAGTTGGAAATTATTACACTTACGTCGTCAATGTTAACACCGGACGAAATAACCCGCACCCCACATAGTAGATGACAGTGGCCCACTTTATTGATTTACCACAAGGAAGTGAAATACCTAACTCTGCAGTTATTTTAAGAGCCCTACATACAGGTTCATCTCTTACCAAAAGAAAATAATGATTTAGAACAGAATTAGAACCCAGATAAATTTTGAAATTCTTCGTTCAGAACCTGTCGTTCTCGGGGTGCTCTGTGAAGTGCTACCAAAATAACATGGTCAAGCTTCTTTCCACATCGGTGAACGATTTTTTTGCGGATTTTTAAAGATTGCCTAATCCAAGAGATACGATGATCGATCATTTTGACGAAATGACTTGATGACAAATGATTTAGACAGTCATTTGTCAGCAAGGCTCCATTTGAAGATAGAAGGGACACATACACACTTTTCCTTCAAGACTCACGCAGTACACAACTGCTTATTTCATTCACTTTTCCCTTGCTTTTCAATATCGAAATGACATTCGTAATGGCCAACCACACATACATATATAATTTTTTTAGAAAATTCCGGTTACAATCGATTTCATTTAATTGTCTATTTTAATTTGAACGACATCCATTGCTTTGGTAGTTCATAGTTTGCATGATATCCTACCGAGTCAATCCGCCGTTGGATTGAGCCATATATATGTATGTTATCCCAACTAGTAGGTTGTTACAAAATAGATTCTAAAATTCAATAATACAAGAATATGCTTTCAGGAACACTTGAAGATTTCACGAATTCACTAGGCAAAAAAAGTTTGAACATTGTAGTAAAATTCCTAAAAGATGTTGGAGTCGACCTATGAACACGAAACATAAATCACTAGCAATGGAGAAAGTCAAATCTGTAGCTTAGTTGCGCATGGAGATATGGCTCGGAACATTCTAAATTTTAGTAGGACGTGAGCCAAGAAGGATGGAGAGGAGTTAATAAAGAAAGAAAAAAATCGATTCTATTGTCGTCGAGTCTATGGAGATTGGTCTATGCGATTTTTTTTTTAAATTTAAAAATAGTTGGGATAACATATAATGGGTGTATGTGTGCTGTTATTTCTAACAGGCACCACATTACCCAACCAACGCAATTGTGTTTCCACGACCGATATTGAGACGAACCGAGATTCCATTTTTTCAATTACAATGACAACGTATTTCTGATTTCATAAACATGGTGTTAGTTGACCGTACACCAACCAAATTAAACGAAAAAGGTAATCAGGCGGCTCATAGAATCGTTTCTACATATATACCGGGAGAAAACGACAGAATTTGGTTATCATTGGCTTTTATCAATTTTCGCAAATTAAATACCAATTCCCAGCATAAAATAAAAGAACAAATACACGCACATTTTTAAATACCATATATTTTTATCATTTTTATTATTATTTTTTTTAAATATAAAGTTAAAACTACAATTATTATTTGTTTTTGTTTTCTTCTTTTTTCGTTTTGTTTTCATTTTGCTTGGTTTTTTATACAATGTTAATAAATGTATATAGAGAATTGGGGGAGGTGTAGTGTGTGAGTGTGGGAAAGGGGTAGGGGGGAAATGTAGAGGGATATTTGGGGGGTAAGTTCTAAGTATTTGTTTTTTGTTTGTCATTCATTTATTATCAATAATAATAAGTTTTTTGTTTTTTTTTTTTTTTTTTTGGAGAACCACAAAGGTATTATTTTTCGTTTAAGATATAGTGTTTTTGTTGTTTTTTTATGACAAATTATATTATAGCTAAGAATATTATTATTTGTTGTTCATTTATAATAGATATTTGTATATATACGTTTATTTTTTGTTGTTGTTTTTTTCTTCTTGTTTATATTTGTTAAATCTAAGCAATTGTTTTTTTTTTCAATATATACTTGTTTAGTAATATGTTGTTGTTTTTTTTTTTTCATCTCACGATTTTTACTTTTGCATCTTTTTTTTAATTATGTCAATTGTTGTATTTTGTTTGAATGTAATGATGTTGCAATTATGATTTTGTTGTTGTGTGTTGACAAAGAAACATTTGAATGATCATCATCAAAATGTCTATTCGTGTTAATTTATTTGTATAAGCTAAGAAAGTTTTCGTGTGTGTGTTTTTAATAACATTGATGATTGGGGGTTTCTTTGTATTTTTTTATCGAGAGGAATTATTTGGGTGTTGGTGTGTGCGACAGTTAGGATAATCGGGAGTTCAGAAACTTCAATGTATGTGTGTTAATGTTGACTGACTTTTACATGATACAGTATCAATAATCGATCCTCTTCTTTAAAAAAGAAAAATGTCTGTAAATTTTTATTTTGTTTAGTTTGTTGTTGTTATATTTATTTTATATAGACAGCTAAGTAGTATTACAAAAAGGAAATAGAAACAAACCTTATAACATAATAAAAAAGAAGATACATTCTATATTTATATATATTTCAACATTTACGCGATATCTGGTATATGTGTTGTGTATGTGTGAGTTGAGTGTATATATCCATCATGTCATAATGATTAAGTGTATAGATAGATAAACACTGCCTTTTTCCGCATAATATGTATCATTATCAACATTATCCTTTATCCATCTATTTATATATTATTAAAGTCTTACATATTAATATATCATTTTGTTGTTGTTTCGCTTTTCGCATTTGTGTATTTTTGCATAAATATGGATTTTTCTTCTTATGAGAATTTGTGTGAGAGAAATATGTATAGAGAGGAGGAGGTGGAGGTGGTGGAAAAAACCCAAAAGGATAAATTAAGAAATTGTGTAGAATAAATACTGCCGTTAAATATAAAAATAAAAAAAACAAAAGTTTAATTAAATTAATTAAAAAAAATTATATGAATCATTATTCATTATTTTCTAGATGTATTTCTTTATATATTTATAAATCTAAATGTTTATACACGTGCAGACACATTTATTAATATAATATTTTAATAATAATAATAGTAATCATATTTATATATAGTAATAGTAATTATATTATTTATATATATAAATTTGTTATTAATAGTAATAATAATAATGACCGACCATATATTTTATTTTATGTATATATAAACTACAAATTCTTAATAATTTTTTTCTGGTATTTCTTTTTTGTTTTGTTTTTATTTTGTTGTTGTTGTTTTTTTTTTGTAAATTTATGATTTTCTTTTAATTATATAACTAATTAATGTTACAGATTCTAACAGAAAAAGCATTACAATTGATTATTTTTTGTTTTTGTTAGGAATATCTTGCAGTTGCGCGTATGTTCTTGATCATATTTTCTTTTTTTTTAGTTCTTGTTTTTAATAATATTCGTATTAAATATTTATATATAAATTTAATTAGAATTGTTGTTTTTGTTTTATAAATTATAACCTTCTTTACATACATAATTAAATTGGGATAGAATGGGGTATTTAGGAGGGGGTATTTGTTAAAATAAAAAATGGGATATCTATACAATATATAATATAATTTGTTTCAATGTGTTTTTCTTTCTTTCCTTTTTTTGTTTGTTTTTATTTTTATTTTATATTCGTTAAATTGTATTTTAATCAATATATAAGGGAGTTTTGTATTAATATGTGCAATTAAGTATTTAAACCTTTACTTTTTTAATTGTATTTAGTCATTTTTTTGTTTGTTTTACGCTTTGTTGTAGTTGTTGATTTTTTTATTATATCTATAATTTCATAATAATGATCTTTTTTAAAAAATCTAAATCTGTATACATTATTATTATTTTTACCTTGCGGTTTCTTTTCTTCTTACGTGTTTTTGCCTAATGATCCTTTGAGTGTGTTTGTGGGGTTTTTGTCAAATTAGCAACAGTTTTTTTGGAAATAAATTCGTTGCGCTTTAATAATGTTTGCTTATTATTTGTATATTGTTTATTTAATATATAGAATATGTTCATCAACTATATATATGTGTGAAGAAGGAGGATGGTGATTTGTTGCATATTTACACAAAAAACGATCAGGTTCTTAATTAAAATGTCCCCTCCCTTTCGAGCTTCTTCAACCTATGCATCCATATAGCCGCAGCATTAATGCAAACCTTGCCTAACTACTATTACACAAATTTTATTTCAGATTATTTCGGAATATTTGGTTTGTTGCCTGCCAGACTACTCTCTTATTGATTTTAAAGTGGCACACATAAAGAAATCTTTTGTAGTATCTTGGATTTGATGGAGAAGGGAAAAAAGTAATTACATATATTTTGCCATGTATTATTATATTATTGTTCGGGAAATATAGCCTCAATCATAATGAGTTAATTATTCTAATGAACAGTTAAAGTGTCCGTAATTCCAAACTATTTGAAAAAAAATCCAAACTATTTGAAAAAATAGTTTGAAAGCTAATGGCAAAGTATTATGAGGAGAAACAATTATCTATGGATTGAATAAATCACTTTCAATTCTCTATTGATTTCTAAAAAAACATTGATTGGTTTAAGAAAATGTAAATACTATTTTTAAAAACAATAGGTTTTTTAAAACTCACTCGATTTCATCCGGTTCAATTCACAATAAAATCCCCTGTATTTTTTTACCAGATTTTCAATACTAAATCCCAATAATATCTGTAAAAATTGATGGCTTCAATGTTCAATGTACATTTTAACTTACTCAAAAGTGGAAGTTTACTTCACATAAAACGGTCCTTAAGATCGGATAAAGAATAGAATGATTTCTAGCTATGTCCCATTAAAATATGTTCAGTCAGCTGAACCGAACAAAATTGTGAAAATTGTGGCATGTAAGTTGTCAAGCACTGCTTCCATTTCGTTCCTCATAACCGTAGCTTCCTTCTCAGACGATGCTAAATCGTACAGGTTCTTTTTCGAACGCTTGTTTTAGTTGAATCCGATATTCGAATATGTTAATTGGCGTCCTTACAACAAGATACTATTATAATTTAGCCATGAAGTATATAAGCAATTAATTAATTCGAAAATCTAAATAATTCCCATAAAGCAAAATTCTTTTTAAACATGTAATAGTTCGAAAATAACTGACCACCAATTCTTTAGGACTCACTACAACTCTTTCTTTCTTTCAAATGTAATTTCTTGTTTCTTAGTGATGGCGTTTCAAATGTTGATAAAAGAAAATATCAATTTATTATAAATGTTTTGTATGTATGTATATGTAGTAGAATTTAGTACGACTAATAAAAAAATTGGAAGTTATAATAAATCTAACAAAAAAAAAAATAATAATCTGTGCAATAGATACGATAGGTTTGAAACATTCAAACATTGTTATTTTAAATAATAAATATGCTACGAGTTATAGTTTGGTTAACACTTTCTGGGCGAAATTATTCCACGCGAAATCAAGAAGAGGGGAAGAGGAAGCCGAATACGAAGAAAAAGACATTTAAAAATTAACCTGATCTCTTGAGTCATGTTGCTGTGCTGGCTGCTGTTGGTTATTTGATGATTGCTGACTTCCACTTGTCGTTGCTGCTGGTGTAGACGTAGATGTTGACGACTGCTGTAGTAAATGTGGGGGTGGTGGTGGTGGTTGCACAGATGCTTGACTTTCATATTGCCCTGATAAACGCGACAGCTGATGCGTTTGTAAATGATGATGATGGTGGTGGTGGTGTTGTTGCAAAACTGATGATGGACCAGGCGGTAAAGGTATATTATATTGAGTTGGATGATGGAGTTGCTGCTGGTGATGATGATGATGTGCTAAGGTAGGTGGTAGTGGCTGCTGGAAGGTTGTTGCTTCTTCGTGTTGCTGTTGTTGTTGTGTAGCTGTATTCATCATGTGCATTTCCACCATGGTGGCATTTGTGGGAGTACCTATTGTCGTTGTAGGAAGATGTGTTGAGGATGACGGTGGTGGGGGTGGTATGGGTGGCCACATATGATGTGAAACAGCAGCCTGGCCATGCGAATGATGTTGTTGCTGTAAAAGGTGTTGTTGTTGTTGATGATTATGGTGATGGTAAGCAAACATTGTCGATGCTGCAGCTGGACTATTTTCCGCTGCCTGTAGCATTGTATACTACGCAACCGCTGCTGTCGTCGATGTATTCGCAGTTGGAGCTTGAGATGGAGGTGCTGTGGTGGCTGGTGGAGACGGCGCGGTTATTTGTTGTTGTTGTGGTTGTGCTGCTGTTGCCACTAAATTTGTCGACGTCGCCGAAGACATATTGTTGTTCATCGGCATGCTGCTATTACTGACGCCGCCATTGCCGCTGCCACTGCTGCTATTTGTGGCTGCAACAGCTCCCAGCATATTGTTCTTTAATTGTTCACTCGTTGTTAGGCCCTGACCGCTGACACTACTACTGCTGCTGTTGTTGTTGTTGCTGTTCGTGTGCAGGTGATGATGGTGGTGCGGGTGGTGGTGCATTGTTGGCGCCGTAGTGCTCGAACTTAAATTGCTACAGCTGCCGATGGAACTGTTTGTGCTGTTTTGGCTAAGACTGCTGGCTGCCGTGCCACAACTGTTGCTATTTGTACTACTGTTACTGACATCGTTGAAAGCAGCTGTGGGCGTTATCTGAGAACTACTGTTGCTATTTTCACTGTCGGCTGAAACGATCATAGCGTTGGAGGAAGACGCTGGATTTTTGCCCGTTATATTTTCGATGTTATTGCTGCTGATGACACCGCCGCCGCCACTGGTGTCGTTGGCATTCGAGTTGCCGGACGACTCTGCTGCCACTTCGTTACACGCAGGCGCAGCCGTTGTTTCAGTTGCTTCACTTTTAATTGGCTGATCAGTCGTTGCAGTTTTGGAATCAATGGCGGCGTCTGCAGGACTTGCTTCCTTCTCTGATGCTGCAACAACTTCCTCCGATTTTCTTTCGGCCGCCGCTTGTTTCTTTTCCTGTGCTGCACCATTCTTTTGTTGCAGTTGCTTTTGTTGCATGCGATATTCGAGTGAATTAACTGCTGTGCCGGGGCCTCGGGACACTTGGAATAGAACTCGTGATATTATCAGAGCAACTTGCTGGTCTAGAATGTGGGACATTACCAGACCCAACAGCCGCTGTTCCTGTTGCATAAACAGCGATCGATTATCCGGATGCTTGGCCAAGTGCAGTAGAGTGCCAGCTGCACGTCTTAACATGTCCAAACTTGTTCCCATGGAATCGGGATTCTCACGCAAATAGTTGATGCCATGCTGATTGGCAACGCCGAGAGCGGTTTGTTCGGCCTGCTCTATAAACGCCACCAAGTACGATATGCAAGGTGATTGCAGCGCCACGGTCCGGGCCATTGCACTGTCGGCTGCTGCCAAATAGTGGAGCAGGTTCACGGAGAATTCGCGCAACACCTGATCTTCGTTGCGGCACAAGTGCCTGGTGAGCACAGCGCAAAGTTTCTCTAGCCTCGAATGGGGTGGTGTGGCAATAACCAGATCCACATTGTTGTCCGTAACGCACAGCTTACATAGAGCCTCCAGGGCAAGTCTTTGGGGTGATAGAGATGAGGCGGGACCGCACGATGGGAAGGGATCTTGGCCATGGGCACTGGGACATACTGCCCAGTGTAGCAGACCGTCAATCAGAGGTCTCGCTATTAGCTCTTCGTAGCGGGACAAGTCCAAGTGGCCAGCAATGTTCGCCATTATCACGAGCATATTCTCTCGTATGCTTATGAGATAGTCCCACCACCATTCACGTTCTCCTTGCAGAGAGCTGCAGGAGTCGGAGAAGTCTGTGTCTTCCTCAGTGCCTCGATCATAGTTCCGATTCTTAGGTGTTCGGGGCAAATGCTCGTGGTTGAGCAGCAAAAGACGACCTACCACAGCCAGGAATCTTTGCGATTTCGCTAATATCGATTCGTTTCCGGGCACAAAACTCAAATTGCGGAATATATTGGAAATGCATATGCAACGGCGTGCCAAGGCGTCTTGACTTTCGTTGACCAAGTACAAACTGGACTCATCGCGGGTATAGCACTCATCTTCCAGGGACGAGGATGAACGACGGCGTTGTAAAACCAAAGCCGGATCTCTTACAGTCGACTTGGGATCGAAGGTCTTGGTAACTGCGGGTTCTTTGGTGGTTATTGTTTCCAGTTCCATATCCACCTCCCGACAATCACTGTCGGTATTCGTTGTTGCTGTTGCCGCTGCCCCAGCAGCTGTTTCGTTGGAGTCGTCCTCCTTCTTAATTTCCGGTGTTATGGTGAATGCAGATTTCTCCAAACGAAGGTTTTGTTGTTCGTCGTTTTGTAGCTTGGACTTCTTTGCTTCCGTCGGCTCCAATTGCGGTGCTGTACTGCTCGCTGTGGAATTGTTGAACAGACGACGTTTCTTGTTGAAGGTGTTCTGCTGCAGTCTGGCTTCGACCTCGTCGTCTTCCATTTCTTTATCACTTTCATTGCTTTCTAGTTTTGGTTTCAACACATCATCTGCGTGAGTGGACGACGAGGGGTCGTCCTCTTCGATCTTGATCTTTGCAGCATTCCTTTTATGTTTTGTGTCTTTAGACTTGCCCTTAATGAAGCGGGCAAATGGAATGTCTACAAACTCGGACTTGAACACATCGATAATGCCCTTGCTTATGTCGCGATCCGTAAAACCATACGTCCAGGCATTACTGCCGACAGGAGCAGTCTCCTCATAGTTGCCACTAAATTCGGAATCCCATTCCTTGACACCGTCGGTTATGAATATATCATTTTCGGCAGGATGAAGGCGTACTGGCAGACCTTTTCGAGACATCATTGTGTAGTTGGGTGTATTGGCTAACAGCACTACCCTCTCCTCGGGATTGGGTGGTCGTTTCACTTGACCCAGATCGATGCCCTCATCTTCATCCGAGTCGCTGTCGTCTATGACGTCGTAGGCATCATTAGCAGCGCCAATGTTGCTACCAGACGTATTGTCATGTAAGCGCGAATGAGGATCAACGCATTGGCGATCTCCCTGCTCCTGCTTAATGGTATCACATAGCCTTTTACGGGTGGCAGTCATGTTGGCGGAAATACCACGTTTACATGATGACTTTCTGTTGCCTTTGGCAGTTAAACCAGACTTGTGGTCATCGCCTTCGTCGCTAAACATCTCGGCGAGATTCTTTTGGAAATGTTCCAACAGCAATGTCAGTAGACCGGGCAAATGGGCCAGGCCAAAGTATTGAACTGTGGAATCGTCAAACAAGAGCACATTCAAAACATCCAGAGCCCATGTGCATTCGGTCAGCTGACCCGACCTTATGGCCATGAATATACGCCACGGATCTACGGGACAAACATCGGCTTTGGTGAGTCGCTTGCGTCTATACAGTACGGGAGTGGTCGACTCCACACTGTCGGGCGGAAAGACAATTTCCTTTTTGATTAATGGTGGCCCCGGACCCACTGGTGGAGGGAAGGGCTGTTGCTGCTGCGGTTGTGCTTGTTGCGGTGGCTGTTGTGGTAGTTGCTGCTGTGGCGGCTGCGATTGCACTTGCTGTTGCATTTGTGGCGGCTGTTGCTGTTGTTGCTGCTGCGACTGAGGTTGTAGTAAAGGTGCACCGCCTGGACCAACAACACCCATTGGCGGTTTTTGTTGATTCACAGCAGGCATCATGCCACCCGGCCCTTGTGGACCGCCGGCAGCATTGGCACCACCAGTCTGTTGAGGTGGTGGCATTGAAAATGGTGGTTGTTTTCCCATACTGTTGTTTGGTGGCATTGTGCCAGCAGCCGTGCTGGTGGTATTAGGTGGTGCTCCACCTGGTTGTCCAGGCTGTGGTCCACCCACCATTTGACCACTACCACCGGGTCCACTCATATTTCCAGGACCGGAATTGGGCATTCTTTGTTGACCAGCACTCGGTGGCCTTAAAGGAGAGCCAGGAGCACCACTTGGTGGTGCCCCCGGTGCACCAGTGCCAGCTCCACCCATTTGTGCCCATTGTGGTGGTGGCGGTTGCTGTTGACCCGGCTGTTGATAAGGTGGCTGCTGTTGTGGTTGCTGGGGCTGTGGTGGTTGTTGCTGTTGTGGAGGATATCGATGTTGATCCCATTGTGTTGCAGCGCCAGGCGGAGGCTGTTGCTGACCTGGTGGTCCCAGCTGGCTGCCAGGTGGTGCCTGCGTTCGTGGTGGGGCACCACCCCAAGCTTGTGGAGATTGTGAAGTGGGATATTGATTGCGGTATTGATTAGAGCCGCCTTGCCAACCGCCTGAAAGTGGAATATATATGAGAAACGGTTGAAATAGAAATTTCTCAATAGTTTATATAGAACAGTAGCCTTTAATTGTGAAATTACTTACCGTACAGTTGTGGTCTAGCATTATAACCAGGATAAGGTTGTGAGTCTTTAACAAAATCTGGATGACGTCGTGGACCCTAGGATTTTCAAAAATAAATATATACGATAAAAAAACATGTCAAGAGTTGTGAAAGCAAATTCTTTACCTGATCGGGTGGTCTATAATAGTCCTGTTGACCAGGAGCACCAGGAGGGGGATAAGGAGAACTACCCGGAGCAGGAGGGCCACTTTGTGGAGGACCACCTGCAGCTGTTGGGGCACCAGGCGTTGAAGGTGCCTGTGAACTGCCAGGTGGTGGTTGGCTGTATGGACGATTGCCATAAGGACCATATTGATTCGAGCCAGATGGAGGTCTAAAGTAAAAAATATACAAGTTGACTTAGTTTTATGCTTGATTATGTCAGAAGAGATGTTATAACGCAATACAAAAAAATAGGAATAATTAAAAAAAGTTTAAGTTCACTCACGCTTCTCCCTCGGGTCCATAGGGAGGGTACATGCTGCGATTTTGGGGAGGAAATTGTCCCTGCTGCTGACCAAACTGGCCAGGTGGTCCGGCTGCATTGTATTGATCACCAGAGCCATATTGACCATAAGCACCTGGTTGTCCCGGGTATGGAGAACCTACAATGATTACAATAGTCACGATTAGAAGCACTCACATCACACTAGTAGTTGGTCGTAAAAATAAGTATACAACACACAAAACGTAAAACAAAGAAATAAAAGAAAATTTCATTTGAGAATAGTGTGAGAATATGAAGCCAAAACACAACAGAGCAGAGACAGACGACAGACAGCAAAGTCAAGATTTGTCTATTTATTGGTGTGCAAAAAATACCTGGTGCTCGAGACACCGGTGGTGGTGGATATGGTCCTCCCGGAGGATATGGTGGTCTTGCTGAGGGAGGCGGCTGTGTAGCTACCACATTTGGTGGTGTTGGTCCAGCCGCACCGCTGTTGGTACTATTCCCATGAGCAGTGGCGTTGGAATTGGGAGCACCACTGCCAACCGGCGGTTCGTCGAAGGGATTATTAACGCTTATGTTATCACCACCAGGGGTCGCGGATGGTGTTTGATTATTGGGGCCTTTGGACCGATTCCAACACAACAATACAACAGTGCGATTGATGATTTTTGTCAAGATGTGTAATGGTAGCGATATGGCGACGCAATGATGATTTTAGTAGTGGAATTAATGGTGTACAAAATGTTGTGTGTGGTGCAAGTTGTGGTAGTTATTGTTTTATGAGATGTAATTGTTAAAAACAAAAAAATCATAATTAAAAACAAAACAAAAAAAAATTAATCAAAAATAAAAATCAAACAAATACGCCATGAACCCAAAACAAACCACTACGGCGGCGGCGGCCACACTTACCTGGATGGGGACTTTGTGCATTACTTTGAGATGGAGGCCTGGGCATTTGGCCACCAGCACCATAATCAGGCTGCGGCCCAGCACCGGGATAGTTTCCAGGATATGTAGGATAACCGTCCATAGAGGTATTGGCAGCACCAACGGGTGCTGGGAATGAGTCTTGAGAATTGGATGAGCCAGCTAAAATGTTCACATCGAAGATGAGAAGAAAACACAACATTAGTATATAAAATAATTGTTGACCAAATTTGAACACACACATTTATTACCTGGTGATGGTACTGAAGCAGCTTTGGCTGATTTCTTCTTAGTACCAGCTTCAATTTGTTGTATGATAGGCAAAGGATCAATATCACCGCGATCAAAATGACACTCGTAGGCCAATAGATTCTTCGTATAGTGTTTACGCAGCGTGTATGCTGCACTGCTACTTGCCCCGATACCCAAAAGGGCAGCTATATCCTTCCATGTTTTACTTTTGGTAACCTTTTATGAAAAGGGGGAAACGATTGAAAGTTAGCAAAATTATGTTAATTGTGAATGTCAAAAGGCAATAATTGAAATAAATTCATGTAGCATAACAAAAATTGATAAAACAATATATGTATTATATTCCTTCTTTCTTTCTTCTTCTTCTAAATAAACCAAAAACAAATACATTCGGAATGGGATGCAAAAAAAAAAAACACAAAAAAGGGATTTAACAAATAAAAACCCAAATTATAAAATAAAATGAGAAGCAAGCAAAATCATCAAAATATGTAGGTGGATTACGATGAGACATAATGACGGAGGATAAATTTCTGGGAAATCTATGAAGAAAACGGAGTTGCATAACAATACAATTATTATGTGAATGTAATGAAATACATAATAATATTGCATGGGCAAAAATCTGTAAAAAGTTAAATTCTTGTTTAGAATTTATCTATCCTTAAAAAGGCTTTAAATATAGTAAATAAATGGCAATGAACTTAATTAACTTCTTACAGTTTTAAAAATATTTCAATAAAAACAAATAATATAACATGCTAATATATTGAAATATAAAAAAATGAAACAAAAAAATGCAAGCAATTCTTAACACATACAGATAATAATCATAATAATGGGACGGGCAATGAATGACAAGTATTTATGGCTAAGAAAGAAAAAATAAAGTCACATGCAAATTGATCCAATAGGTACTCAACAAGGTAGTAAAAACTACAATAAATTGGTAGATGGTAACGTATTTTGTACTTAATCATGGACTATTGGAAAACTAATTTGTTTTTGCATTATTTTGGATTCACTACTTTGTTTGCTTGTGGTTTTTTTAATTTAATTTGGTTTGGTTTGGACAATGGTGATTGATATACGTATGGTCTTTGTTTTGTTTTTTAATATACTTGGATTTGTTTGGGGAGGAATTGCTAGTAAATCTAGAAAGAAGTTAGTAAAAGGAAATTTGCTACGGCACCTTGCATACCTCGACGAATCCGCCTCGTTCCTTTACATACAAATATAACCTGTAAAGATCGAGGGGTTGTTTCGAGATGGTTGGACAGGTTGTTATTGGTGTACGTCTCTCATCCATAAATGCTCTCAGCTTGTCTAGCCAAACACGACGTTCAGGATTATCGTCCATTTCATACAGTTTACAGAGGCTGTCGGACTTTTTGGCTGAGGTTGGAGCTGCGGTGGGGCCAGCTGTTGGTGTTGCACGAAAGGTTTCCGGCTGTGGTACATGGCTATTGAAACCCTGTGGTGAAGAGAAGTTAAAAAATCAAAATTAGTTTTAAAAATCCAAAAAGTTGTGTTATATTATTTTTAAAAACTTACTGGACTGGCAGGTGTTCGTGCCCAATTGGGTGGAGAATTCATTTCATAATCTTCGCCAGGATGTCCTGGATGGGCACCAGCACCAACACCGCCGGGACTGGTGCTAGGTGGGGCCAAATGGCTCTGTCCATACGGATCATTTTTACGAGATTTTGGTGTGGTACATTGAGGATCTTCAGCGGATGCTAAAAAACAGCAAGTAAATGGTATGTAGCATTATTTCTAATTAAGATGCATTTTTTACTTACCTGCCGAAGCATTTGATATTGTGCTTTGTTGGCTGGCATCATCCATTGGTGTACCATCTGGACCGGTTGTGACTACAGATGTGACTGGATGTTGTGATGGACCTGAAGCCGATCCCGACGATCCTGAACTTAAACCATTATCTTGTGATACATGCTCAGGTGGCGGAGGTGGGCCGCTACCTTCACCACCCCCTACTCCGCCAGCCATCATTGACTGTGGTGGTGTTGTGGGTGGAGGCCCCATGGTCGTTGGACCATGTGGAGGACCCATGTGATGGGGTGGACCCATTGGTATACCGGGATGCATACCAGGACCATTACCATAACCTTGCGGCGGTCCGCCTGGTGGTCCACCGCCTGGATAACCACCCTTGTGTTGTAAATGTTGTTTCAAATAATTTAGGGGACGAGGCGAACCACTACCCTGGGGCGGTGGTGGTGTAGCTTTGCCCTGGATGTGATTACCCATGTTCGGAGCCCCCGGTGCACCTGGACCTCCAGGACCAGGTCCGCCCTGTTGTGGTGATGGCGGAACCCAGTTTTGATAAGGCGGATATTGACCACTGTGATTTGGCATAGGTCTGCCGCCTGGATATTGCTGTGGACCACCGGGTGGCATACTATTGGCTGATGAGGCCTGACTTGAGGGCGGTGGCGGCGTAGAACCATAACCACCCGGCGGATACTGAGGTCTTGGCGGGTAGCTACCTTGAGAGTATTGTTGAGCTTGTTGTGGTGGTGGAGGCGGATAGCCGGAGAGCATTCCCTGCGGTCCAGGACTTTGGCCACCCATTTTATAGCTGCCGTGCATATGAGGCGGTAGAGGATAACCCTGAGCACCACCACCAGGCCCCTGAGGCGGTGGTTGTGATCCTATGCTATTCTGATTCGATAGCGGTGGAGGCTGTTGTCCACCGCCGGGTGGACCGCCACTGCCACTTGCAGCTGAGGTAGGCGGTCCCTGTTGAGGTGAATTGCTAGCTGAAGACGAAGAGTTTGGAACTCCAGGTCCTTGCTGAGATTGCTGTTGCTGTTGTGCCGATTGCTGAGATGGAGGTGGTGGCGGTCCACCACCAGGTTGTTGCATTGGACCACTACTAGATTGATTGCTAGATGGCCGTGAAATTGGATGGTTTTGGGCTAAAAGGAAAAATGGTAAAAGATGTTAGGAAATGGTAAATTAAAATAGCCAACGCAACACAATCACTTACCAACTGCCGGTGACATGGAACGTGAACCCGAAGATCCCGTTGGCGAAGGTGTGGGACGCATAACTTGTTGCGGATTGGGTGTACCGGGTGGGCCTGATCCTAAGCCGCTATGACCGCCACCACTGGAGCTATCATTACTATTTTGACCAATAAGTTCCTGAAAGGCGAAGCAGAAAAAGGAAGATTTAATTAGTTATAATATATCAATTTGATATCAATTATTCAAATTTTAATACTTTGTATAAATTTTCAAAATGCTCCCAGGGTAAAACTTTATTCATTTTCTTTTGTTTATTTTCTTTTGTTGTTATTTATTACAAAACAAATTAGAAGCCGCTAACAAAAATCTTGTGAAGTTCTATATATGTTTTCCAAAAAAAAAAGTAATTGAAATTCAATTAGAAAAATATTTTTGTCGTCGACAAGTGAAAGCAAATTTTACAGTAGAAAAAAAAAAATAGGCAAAGGCAACTGAAATAGGTTTGGGCTGACATGTTTTCACGTGTAGCTGCTTGCAGATTGGTTTCGACTTCCAATCGATGATTTGATGCAAAACACGATATTTAAGCTGTTAGAATTGAGTTTTCCAAGATGAGGGGACAAGTAATTTTACTATTCTGCAAAAATTAACAAATGTATCCGAACCTGCTGCTATCGAAGAATAGAGTATAGAGACCCTTAGAGAAAAAACCAAAACAAACCATAGTGGAAATCACAAGATACAACGAAACGTCACCGCCATTATCATCATATCGCCATTGTCATTGTGCATGGCAAAGATACACCACCGAACATAAACACACAGAACAACAATTATTTACACACAAACAGCAATCAACGTAAGAAAACAATGAAATAATGAGCAAAAATTTGTATTGAAAACAGCAGCAGCAACAACAAAAATGCAAATAAAAGCCGGCCGGTGTTTTTAGTAATTTTTATTTCTTGCCTTTGAAGTTTTTTTTGTTCATCATTATTATTATAATCACGGCACACTATTCCACCATATTCCCCATAATAATAATAGAGCAGCAAAACAACAATATACACACTCACACACACATACAAAAAGAATCACTCAGAAAAATATGTCCATTAAGAGAAGTGTATTTGAATTTTGCTTTGCGCTACAAGTTTACGGTTTGTTAGTTTTAAGTTTACGTACAATTTCGTCGTTTTGTTTTCAAATAGATTTTTTCCCAATAAAGAAAGAATTTTGTTTATTGTTTCTTTTTATCGTCCAATTGTTTGTTTGCACCCACCACAAACACTGTCAATAGATTTTATTCACAGAGAAGAAGAAAAGCAGTACGAGGGCAGTTTTGTTCGTTCGTTCGTGGTAGTTCGTAGTAAACAGTATGGCTGATTTGTGAGTGAGTACTGGTTACTTGTGGTGTTGTGTGTGCGAGTGGCATATACAGAGAGTACTCTTTTGCCGTATGGTCTGTTAGCTGTTTACGTCGTTATGAAAGGATCACCTAAATATATATGGGGAATTTGCTTTATGCTCGTCGCTTTAGTTTAATATTTAAAATTTTATAAATAAAAAATTATAATTAAAATTTTATAAATAAAAAATTTAGGAATATATAAAATACAAAAAAAAAAAAATAAACGAGAGAGAAAAAGAGTGTGTTGTATTTTGATGTAGAATTGTTTACTAAGAGATAAATAACATACATCAAATATTAGATCCAGCTGATTTTTAAGTTGGATTTAATGTTGAAAAAAAACATGATAACCAAAAAATTTTTTTAACAATTTTTCGAATTACGCCAGAATTAATGTGTTATTTTCCAGCAGCAAACCCATACTGTCCTGTATTTTTTATATTAAAAATTAACCCAAAGACAAGTATGAGTATGTAAAGGACAATATCATGACGACACCCATCGTTACCACAAAACGACGAAGAATACAATTTAAAGTATGCCAAGCACGTGAAATATAAAATTCTTTTTTTTCTTGCCTTTGTTGTTGCTGTTGTTATGGTTGGTTATAAATCAGGTTTCAAAGCAGAAATACCAACAACAATAAAAATAACACATCGGTAGAATCACAATCACCACGACGAGGATGGATGCCAAAAACTTGAGAGGAAATAATAAAAGAAAAAAAGAAAAACAAACGCTGTAGCACAAAGAACTTGACCCACTTTTCAGTTTCTACAAATGCGGCAGCACCAAAAAGGGTGGATATGGATATGCGTCCGACAACAACGTAATACAATAATTGTTTTTATGGGAATTAATACACAAGGTGGTTTTTACCATCAAAAGAGGGGTTTTTAATGGATGAAATTATGTTGTTAAAGCAGAATACAACAGAATTTTAAAAATATTTGAATTTAATTGAATGCTTATTGTGGGAATAATAGGGAATTTATTTTGAAGTTTTGTCCCCACAACTTTTTGAGGATTTTTTGTCATTTGGAATTTTTTTTACATTTCATGTATAAAAAAGATAAACAATGAAATCACTTCTTCCGAAGTAGGTATTTAATGACATATTCTCTTCAGGACATCTAACAACGTAAGGGGTAGGAACGAGCATGTTGAATTTATTTTTGATATCGGACAATACCCAGCTAATTGACACGTGAAAACAACCTACCCACCCCTGAATTATTAATGACATGCACTAATAACAACAATAATAAATTATAGTCATCACGTGCAAGTATTAATCACAAAAAAAGATATAGTAAACAATTCTATCAAATTAATAAACAATTTGTGAGGTATGAATGAATCCGCAGGCTCGCTCGGCAAAATAGGAAAATATGTTTGAAATAAAAAAAGAAAACAATAACAAAATCAACACACTAACCGAAAGATATATACGTACATACATATACATATGTAGTTATATTATTTATATCTATCAGTTAATACAACGTAAATATGCAGCGCGATAAACAAAAAGTACATCTAGCAGCTTGACTGATCAAGTTCAATGTCCACCAAAGAGGAAAAAAACGGTGAAAAAAATTAGCAAAAAAAACAAATAAATATGAAATACAAAACAAAAAAAAAGTAATAAATATTAAGATGCAATAATTAAAATCACAATCAGCCAACAACAAACATTACTCAATAATGCTGGTGATGACGACGAGAATAGCAATGCAGAGCCGCCGCCAACGAGTGGACTGCGGCGTCGACGTTCATATTGACATAATGAATAATAAGTAAAAATGCAAAAACAAATACCCCACCACATTGCCTAATCAGACACAATTGTTGCTGTCGAGTTGACGTCGCAATGACAGCGATAACGAATGACGAAATACAAAAAGACAACGGCTCTTTATTTAGATTTTTCATGCATTTCCCTCCCAAACACTCTCTCTCCCTCAACGAAATGTAGGAAGGAAATACAATTTATTGTCCATTAAAAGAAAAAATATCAGTCAACAGATAAACAAAAATTCCTTGTTAAAAGCCGACATTTACAACCTTTTTTCACACACCTACACACATTCATACATACAAATGCTAAATGTTTTGTTTTTTCCTTTCTTATTTCAACATAACTTGACGTAAGGAAACACAGGTATTATGAATCAATAGACAGACTAGATTATAAAACATTTGTTTAAAAAAAGCACACAAACAACAAAGAAAGATAGGTAGGTGGGGAGGTTTGTTGGTTGCCAGCCCCAACATAAAAAATCTTTTTTCATTTCTTTTTTTTTGCCATTTTCCTTTCTCTGTAAACGCTTTTGCATTCCACTTGTAAATTGGTTGATTGAAAAAAGGCGCGCAACAAGATTTGCCTTGCCGCTGCCTCGTCACCATCAACATGCCACATAAATTCAAAGGCTACTTGTTGTTGTAACATCATTTAATTTGGCACTGACATTTCTTCTTTGGGAAAACAACATTCAAAACTTAAGCACGTTGCTCTTTATTTGGTTCGTTCGCGTTCGTTCTTCTTTCTCAACCACCGGAATCTTTTTATCTTTCATTTGACGTTCTTTCTTTATTTCTTTTAAAAATACTACATTCAAAACACGTCGTCTTTTTTCTGAGAATGGAACATGTTTTTCTTTGGTTTTTATTTTGTTTTATGGAAATATTTGAAAACGGTATTATATTTTAATAAAAATTGCTGTTTTAATAAAAATTACGAGAATTATTTTTTGACGTGCTTCTAAAAAACCGAGCTAAACTTCAACTAAAGCTCCCTCTCCTCTGAAAAAATAATTTCACTTGCAGTGTGCGGCTCTCAAACACACACACGCACACACACATATGGGATACGGCGGACGATAGCGCAGCACATATGACTGCCGCCCGCCGCCATTGACATACGGCGACGAGTAAGAGGAGAAACGTTGTACACTGGTGTGTTCTATGGTAAAGTGTGTTTTTTTTTTGTTTGTTTGGCCGGAGACACAGAGCGAACGCGTGAGAGTGCAGCAAGTGTATAGAGTGGCAGCACACAGAGGGTGCGACGACGACAAAATGTAGAAATTTTGTTATTGTTTCATTTTCAAAGTGGAAAAAATTGTATAGAAATTAATAATATTCACAGTCGGACATAGGCAAACACACACACAAACGCATACTATAGATAAACAACACATATGAATTCAGGGATTTTTTTGTTAAACAACAACAAATGACTGACCAACTTAATCACCGCCTTACTCTCCCTCTCTCTTGTGTTTGTCCACTCCCGGTATAGAGGGTGAATTATTATTATTATTTTTTTTTTTTTTTGATGGTAAATAAAAATTATGAATATCAATATAGAAATAAACCACCATTACAATAAATCAATAAAGGCCGAAAACTTAACAAATAGAGGAGAGGCTGGCTAACGTAGCACCATATTATATAAACTAAATTAATAATTTACTATACGTTTAATAATTACTATACGTTTAGTTGGACCTTTAAAAATAATTCTTTCAAAAAATCCACGCCTTAGTTAGTGTAGGGGCCTAAAAATATTTTCCATGTCCCAAACCCATACTTTAAAGGTCCAAGCTCAAGGGATAGAACACCTCTTGGTAGAAAACTTTTATTACAGATCCACGTTTTTAGGTATAGTGTAGGTCATAGTCGAATTTTTTAATCGAAGTGATTGTAATTTGGTCGTTCGGTTTCTTGTAGGATACAAAATATGTTAGGTTCACCATTAATTGTC